TACTTAAGCTCCCAAAATGAGTCAAAATAACTCTATATAATAGAGTTATCATCGTGTCACAGTTGTGTCACATATGACCTACTGTAGCGTGACCAGTTTGTGCTTTGGTTTCACAACTTCCTCTTTTCAATTCACCACTGTATTAGGGATTCTTGGTTTCACATCATTCTTGAAGCTTTAGATTCATCACAATCAATTCCTTGTTTCGTTTAATATCAACCTTCTCTTACTATTTGAAACCCATTTTCAACGGAGTATAGTAATGCATATTTAACAACAAAACACTAAACCATATTTTTAATCAATATGGCATTCAAATCACTAAACCCACAAAAAATTAGCATTCACTCACTGACTTACCTTGTAATACTCATAAACTTGTTCAAACACTTTCCTATCCTTGACCTTGAATCAAAAGATCGTTCAATAAGCCTATCATGTAATATGCACGATGTTTTTGTTTACGGTAATGTCCAAAATATAAAAAAACCCATCTCTTGCAACATGATTTTGTTTTGTACAAGCTTCTAAAAAAATTATATGTTTTGCACAGAATTAGAAGGAACAAATTCTGTGCAGATTTATTTTTCCCAATATGTACACGAAATGAGAGTACACGTCAATAAAAAAGTCTTATTAAAGGCATTTTTGTCTTAAGATCTCATCACTTGACTAAAAATAGTGAAAATTATCTAAAGGGTTATTTCCAAAAGCACATTATATTTTAGAGCTAAAAAAAATTTTAGCCTTTACAAAAATATGCTTTTAGTACTATATTAATATTTATAATAATCATTTTATTTATGAAGGGCGTTGTTATAGTGTACTAGAAATGTATTCGTGCATTGCACGCGAATACAATAATACATATTGTAATGGTTGTGTTTAGTTAATTTTATCAAATACTTAAAATAACTGAAAAAAGGGACAAATAAAGTATTTTTTGTTCCATCTTCTCATTTAAACCCCGTACAGCTTCATTTTTGTTTACATCCAAGTGGCCTTTCAAATTTTCATTTTCAAGTGGCCTTTCAAATCTCTACCAACTACCAAATCTTTTTTCCTATTGTATCCCTACCCACTGAGTTCCTAACTAGTCTTGCTAAGTCAGTTCTTTGCAGATAGCTATCTTTTTTTTGTTAAGTAACAAATTGTTATCTTTTTTTTTTGTTAAGTTACAAATAGCTATTTGTCTCAATATTATTTTCATCATTCTATCTCCCTCTTGGCTCTTGTGACTTTTCCTTGTTAGCCCTTCCTTATCTATTAGCTTTCAACATCATTATTCAACGCCATGTCATCATCTTTTTCCTCTCCTTCTGATATGTAGCAGGGACTACATAGTGGTTCTATATTGGCACTATTAAGTCAAAACAATTTATTCAAAAAATAAATTCATTAAGTTTTGATGTAAAAGAAAAAAACGCCTACTTTAATCTATACAACAAAGCCAATGAAGGAGACAAACGGTGGAGTTCATGAATCATGATTACCTCTTTAAACCTCAAAGCATGTTCAATGAGATTTGGAAAAATAAATAACTTCTTCTTAGAACCCTTCCACAACCCGCCACGTGTCACTTAAAGACAATGACAATGTGGCTAAACGTGGAAGCACCTTCGGGTCTTTTTTATATATATGTTATAGATATTGTTCTTAATTATTGAGTGTTTTCTTTGATTTTTTTTTGTTGGTCTCTTACATACGATTTGCCTTTTCTCTAGTGAATCTTGTGCTTTGTTGGTTATTGCATAATTGATGTGTTTTCTCTTCATTTCTTGATCTTTTCTTTGTTTTGTAAAGGTTGTGTTCTCTGTTTACTATTGTTGTTTTTTAGTTTGTTTTACGGTCATGAGTTAGAAGAAAGCAAAAGTGTATTTTGTTTTTTTATCTTTCATTAATATGGATACTGATAGCATGTTTGAGTGTTTGTTTATTGGATTAATATTTGATGTATTGGTAGTGTATAAAAGGTATACATTGTTAGCTCATTAAATGCTACCACCTCATTAATGAGGTAAAATTAAAAATCTTAAAGACTTAAACTTAAATACTAAAAAGTTTTCAATAATCAGTTAAATAAAAAAAAAATTTTCCCTCTCTAACTCCATTATCTTTTTCTTCTTTTTTCTTTTTCTATTAAAATTACTAGAATAAGGCTCACACAATGCTGCAAATCCTGACCCATCTAAATTGAAGAAAAGCCCAAAGATGCAAAGACGATCCAAAAACAGCGAAAGTTCAACTCCTAAAGAACATAAACCTAAAATCAAACCCAAAACTCTCCCATTAACATCAAGTAAAACACGTATATATGTGCGTTACCTATGACTTATTTATTTAGTAAAGCCCGTCACATGTCACCTGAAAGGGCCACGATGTGGTTAAACTTGAAAACACTTTTAGATGTTCCCTTTAGATATGTTAGACAAATCTTATATATTAATTTAATGTGTATTTAAATTTTACATATTTAAATTATACTTTATGCAAAATTTAAATTAGGTTAATATTTTAGTTTTGGATTGAATATTTATCATGAATATCAACGTGTATTAAAATTCACATGAAATATGAAAATAAGAAAAAAATCACTTAAATTCAATTTATAAAAATTGGAATACCCATTTCTAGTACTATAAAAATTTGCAATAAACGAGTCGCTTCTTTTTTCTATTAAAAAAATCAATAAGAATATTTGTCCATTGTAATAAGTTCAAAAAAAAAAAACTTGCCGTTATAATGAAGGAAATATTCGGAATCGGGCAATGTACGTCTGTGTCAGGACCAGAGTCCATATTAATTAGTTATGGATGGATGAGTTGTCGTGGGGAGTGGAGCAAAAACAAGAGAAAATGAGCATCGACGGCTGACTGGCTCACGAAGGGAAAGAGGAAAGTCACAGCGTGGTTGGTGTCAGCCTTGTTCTTTCCAATATTTTTCCAGGCAAGTGGGCCAAATCCCACTCGCTTTCTTCCAAGACCGACTTTTTCAAAGTCTTTCTTCTTCTCTCTGTCCATCAGTCAGCGCTTCTGCTTCTCTTTCTCAGATACACAGCTCCCTCCGTTTCATTTCTTTTTATCAAGTTGAAGAAGCCATTTCAACTATCAAATTGCTTCTTGGTTTTTTTCTTTTCCTGCCTCGGTTTCGGTGGGTGAAGGGTGGTGTAATCTCTCTTTTACTACAAGGGAATTCAGCTTTAAGCAGGTTTTTCTTTCTCTCTCAGATTTGGACTTCCGTTTTTAATTCATGTATTTTGTTGTCTCGAGAAAGCATTAGTGCGGTAAAGGAATAGAAATATGCTAAGCTAAGCTATTGTTAGTCTCTGAAATGCACCATGAAACATAACTCATTCTGCCTGTTCTGCCTTTTAGTCTTGGCACTTAGCTGCTGCTTGCTTTTGCTCTCAGAACCACAAGTTAATTTGGATGCAAAAGCAAAATACTAGTCATATTTTTTAATAATTAAAAATTAAAATTGTACTTTCTTGTTTTGGAGAGAAAAAGCATGCTTCTACTATAATATAGAATAATTATTTTAGAATAGGTGTTCAGTTTTAGTAAACTTTTCATTTTTAATCAATTATGGTTTTGCTTTATACTTATTTGCTTTTGCTTTTAAGGAAACTTTTATCAGGATGTAAAAGGCATAAAGCAAGTAGCAAAAGCGACAGCTAGACAGACCAATGCTATTTTTGTGTGGTAAATGAGTTGAATCCCATTTTCATTGGCTTCACTTTGAAACTGGTTTATCCAATATTGTTAGATATGTACCTTTCCATATCCCGGGCTATTGATATCCCATATGGCTTGATATTAATACCGATCTGAGCTTTTCATGCTTGTATCTAACTCTTTTGTGGAAAATGTTAAGTGTTGGGTGGAATGAATGTGAATTCATGGCAACTGTCAGCTGAAAAAGCCTCAAAAAGTGTAGGCTTATGTGGCATGTGAGGTAGAGTATGCAACTTAAAAAATATGTTGACCCGAAGGGGTTGAGTTGGATTGAACCTGAGAACAAAACTTGCTCTAAACCTTTCCACAAATACTTGAAAACTATGTTTTCTATGCTTGAAATAGGGAATGATGATAATGACACAGAGGAAAAGAGTGAATAAACTAAAAAGTGGACTTGAGATTTATAGAGGTTTCGTCTAGCCATGCAGCGCCTGTGTCATAACTCCATAAGTCCATCTTTTTGGGAGTTTCTTCACTTGCTTTGTTTGAGCTTACCGTGCAATCATAATGCACTCGCTATCTTAATAAAATCTACTTGATTTCTCAGCCCAACATAAGTTTAGCTAACACCCAAAATTAGCAATCTCTAGCAAAGACCTTTTTACAAAATTACTAGGTAAAAGCCTCAAAAAGTTTGGACATGGTATAATGTTCAGAACTTACAAAATGATATGCCAATTTAGGCTCTAGAGGATTTTCAATTTGATTATGAATATCTTGAAGATTTAAAGATAATAGCTCTTTGACAATATTCAATTTTGAACCCTTGTTTTGTAGCTTAGAAGTTAAAATAACCAGTGCTAAATTCTTGGGATATGTTGTCATTGTTTCTTTTTCTTGTCTCAGACTATAATTTTTTGACTTTATGAGCCAAAGATGCCCTTTTGCTTCTCAACAGGTGTCTTTCTTATAGGGTATTGAGTTCAGCATGATGGTCCTTCAAGCAAGCTTAGAGCTTTCTTCCATTTTCTGAAATTTGAATGTTCCAGGTGATTCCATGACATTTTAACCTCTACCAGCAACCTTTTTTTAGCACAGGTATATGATTAGTCACTCATAATTTCATTGAAGCTTCTTTTCTGGAGGTGCCTGTAGGTTTTTGTTCTTACCTGTTGGGTCCTCTTGAAGCTACATAGGGCTTTCAAACTTTTAACAAAGGCCTTTCTTATTTTACCATAGGCAGTTAAAGAGGCTTGTTCTGAGATACAAAGTTTGTCTTGTTTAGGAGAGCCTTTAGGTGCCTTTTGATTAATGGTGACTTCTTTGAGCATTCTATCCTACTGAAGCACCTGACTGATGTTGATAAGGGACCTCTTGCTAACATAATGCCATCAAAACTTTGTGCTCCTAGTAATGATATTTGATATCCATTGTACTTTACTACCATTAAAATCAGCACAGTGAAGCCAACATAGAATTCAAAATGAGCAATAAATGCACCCTCTGGTTGCAAGGGACAAGCTAAACTACCGACTTGTGTTGGTGCTGCTAATGATGTAAAAGAATGTGATAACCGCGTTGGGATTCAGACTGTGATTAATATTAAATATACTGGAGCAAGTTGACGATAATTATCGAATTAGGAGTAATGGAAGGGTAAGCACTGGCTTTGACAGTTTATGTGCTGTAATTTTAAATAGTGATAGAATCCAAGAAATTGATGCCAACAAGCAGCAGAAAAAAAATACAAAGCATTATTCCCAATGGGAGATTAACTGCATAGATCACATTATGCCATTGTGCTCTATTTAGATAGGACCATATTTTTAGTTGATCATTAAGAGTGATGCATATTTTTTGATAGTTCCCCATGTACTCTCTGCACACCCCCCCCTCCCCCCCCCCCCTTCTTTTCTTCCCCACAAACATCTCCCAAGCCTCTATATCACATGCCCAAGCCACCTTAAACACATTTCCCACATTTCGTCCTCAATTGGCAGTGGCCAACTACTTTTTACTGAATATTGTTATTAAATGATGCCAACAAGCAGTATCATCAATTGGACTTGTGGCAAGCTCAGAAGGGAAAGGCATTCCCTGATGGCATTTCTTATAAGCAGGGTTAGGTAGATATGCAAAATTCAAAGCTTTACAGATTCTGCACTGCTAATCATAAGCAAAATTAGCAGAGACAGGTGGAGTTGTCTTATAAAAGCAGAGGATTTTTGTAAGATTTCATTAGACCTGGCAGTGGCATTGGGCATCCAGCAATAACATGGTTTAAAAGAAAACTGATGGGTTAGGGGGTCCAGACTTTTTTATACATGATATTAAGACATTTAATTAATTCCCAATTGAATTGTGAGCATTTGCAACTTTAACTCCGAAGATATCAAGCCTTGGCAGCTTTAATTATTTGTTATTCTAGTTAATTGAACGCGAAAGATATGAAAAGAGTGCATTTATGAAACCATTGATAAGTAAATGTTGAGGGAACGTTTTGTTAAATTTTTGAGGTAGGCATCCATCCTTAAACCAATTGACAATAGTTGGAGAGGCCCTTGTTCTATTTAAGTGCTCAAGATCAAATTTAATCTATGTGAGATTTAATCTATCGCTGCTTAACAGTCTTGTTTTATTTTTTCTGTGGATAACTTAACAGTCTTGTTAAGCCTGACCTTAGTGACATTACATAATTAGGTTATGTAATCAAATTATTATGTAGAGGAAGCGCTCAGATTTGAGCTGGCTGCTCTTCTCCACGGTGTTTTTAATGGCAATTGTGAGATCAAACATGAGAAAACCTGCATATATACTTCTATCACCTATATAAATGTAGAAGCTGTGTACCTCTTGGAGTAGTACCAAGCTACAGAAAGTTCATTCTGGAAAATGAATTTTGAAATTAAATTTGGCTTTTATGTATAATCTCCTTTCTATCAGAGCAGCTGACCTACTTTGATGTCCAACTGTATGCATACTGGAAAATGCATTTTGAGAAAGGTTTGTTATAATTGATATAATGTTTAAATAATTAAGTCAAAAGTATCTACACGTACAAAGATGATAGCAGGATGGCGAAGACTAGTTTTATGTTCTCCCATTTCCTATCATTGGTGGTTGTTATTTGCATTTGACTGTATATTTCGAAGAAAAATAGGTTGGTTCAATTCTATTCAGAGATTGTTGTTTCTTGGACTTATTTCTAAATCCTGGATAACTAATTAAGGAGATAAGAGTGTTTTCCCATTAGATTTAGGAGAGAAACAATCTTTTTTGTGGTTATAATAAGAGTGTAAAAGTAGCAATTGTTATGAATAAAAAAGGTGAATATGCACTTCACAACCAAATTGGTGGTTTTAGGTTATAAGCCTTTCTTTGTCAAATCAAAGGAGGGAAAAAGGGAGAAGAGGAAGGAAGTAGTTCTTTCTCTATGAAATGAAATAGCAGGGGAACCACAATGAGAGGGTATGGTGCCAAGGAATAGAATATCTATACAGAATAAGTAAAAACTGTAACCTTATGATAAGTTCAGATTTATTTCAGGACATATTTAGTTGGGTTGATGGACTCTAACAGTGGACAGACTTTACAAAAACTTATTGACCATCGGTATTGCCTCACTGTAATTTTACCTGCTGCCTTTTTATCATAAATAATCGAGCATCTGGATGATGTCTCTTTATAAATTAAAATCAAAGTGATGCTGGCTAACTGGATGATCTCCTCATTATTTAAATCTAGAAGACTAGGAACAGAGTTATTTTCCTTTATGCTCTTGAATTTTATCTTAAATGTGCTGGGCTAATTTTTTTGTCTACCCTCCCACCCCCTTTTTTTGAGCCAAACTAAATATATAGCAGCACATGCAGCTAACTAAGCTGACTGTTTATGTTTCCTTTGTAGATCTAATATATGAGACATGGCGTGTTATGATAAACATGAGGTTCCAATGCTGTCAGATATTCATCCTCAACCATCAGAAAATAATCAGGATTCTCAGTTTCAGGCACTGTTTTCTAGAACTCAGAGTGCTTCAATTGCTATCCCAATGAACTCTATAGAGTCCTACGAAAGTACTAATCTTGTAGGACATACTGGCCCCTTGAGGAATGAAAGAAAAATACCATTTATACAGATGAGTGGTCCTCTATATATTAGCCGTAAGCCTGAAAATTCTTTTCATCCAAATCAAAGTGTGGCAGGTCGTAAAATGGTGGAATCTAAGGCAGAAAAATTTCCTTCTTTTAATGGAGTGGATGAAAAAGATTGGTCAGATAACAACTATGTTGGCAAAAATGAACATTTACTGAGGTCTGGACAACTAGGAATGTGCAATGATCCTTACTGCACAACTTGCCCAACATATTACAATTTCAAAGCAGATCAAGAGAAAAACTCAAAAGCTTCAGGAATCTTTGATACCAAGGTATTTTTCTCCACTCAAAATAGTGTTGTTGGTACCAACTGACTTTCTTAGATGGTTGTCAATTTATTTCTTGTTAATTGTCTTATATGCTTTGGAGTGCATATAGCTTCATTCGTGAGAGGTAACTTGTTTTTAAGTCTTCTATTCTGTCTTCTGTCCTTTGACTAGGATTTTAGCTCATAGTAGTTAATTTGTGTGTCGGCACACCTATGGAACTCATAACATGAAGTGCTTACAAGTGAATATAATTTATGTGTCTGTCAAGTATGCTATGATTACTGGATTATGTGCACAAGATGGAAAAAACCTCTTTTTTTCTTTTGATTGTATGGAAAAGCTTGTTTGAAATTGCAGTTATCTTCACATGAACCTCTAGTCATTGTATAGTCTTTGGTGCTGCAATTGTTAGATTGGGGATGTCCATCCTTTTTTTTTTTTTTGGTATGAAACAACCATCTGCTCATGTAGTAATTTTTAAGATTTTGAGACTTACCATTTAGTTCTATATTCTCAGTACAAGGACCGGCAACCACTCTTACTCTCTCTAGATGGACTATATCTTTGAGTGGATTTGGCCCAAAGGAATAAAAAATTCAAGCATATTAAAAAAATTTGAGAAACATTTGTTAGTGTTTAGCTCTGCTAATAAAGCTGCCTGTATTTTCCATTTTATTCAAGATATGAGATTTTGAGATTTGTTGTTTTCAACAGTTCGGGCAATTCGAATGAATGGCTTTTCCTCTTTAACTCATATTTTCTTAGAAAACCTGGTCAAGAATCAAGCAATTGCACTTTAATGACTAGCTATTAATGAAAAAAAATAGTTAGTCATCATATGGGTTTGGCTCAAGTGGTAGGGCAGGTGGAGGTTTGAGTGAAGGTCTTAGGTTTGGATCTTGCATGAATATCTCTTATACTAAAACGTTTGTGTATAATAAACTTGTAGATTATGATAACAGTAAAAGTTATAATATATGCTAATAGTGTTCCCATCAGCCTTAGTTTAAAATATTCGATATATAATGGTACTTTTTTTAAAGGGTAAAAGTATCATTTTGTTAAGAATAAGAAGTCATAAAAGCTGCTATGCATGATGTATGGTCTCTATTTATTTATTATATGCATAAAAGCACAGATATTAGTAAAACATTTTTCTTGGTGTAAACGGACTCAAATTTGATATATTCCTAAATTGTTTGTTCCTATTTCTTTTTTAATATTATTGGTATAACATTAATCTTCTCAAAATTAAATTTTAATTGGTTACAAACTTATAGTTCTATTCTGCTTTTTTCCTTGGTAGAGAATGGTTAAGATAGTTTTCATTTAGTTTGACTTCTTATCACTTTTTTCCTTAGAAAGGTCCAATTTTTAATTTTAATAATTTCAATCTTTCTTCGATTAAATAACCAAATTAAAATTCTCTCAAAATGGTCTAAAGGAAATTTATAAGGGTATCAAATTTAAAGGTATTTCTGAATTGTGCTGTATAATTTTGATATTATTAAATTATACATTAATTTTATTTAAATTAATTTAATTAACTATAAACTCCTAATACCCTTTTACTTCTTTCTTGGTTGAGAATCATTAAGAGAAATTTCTTTTATTACTTTTTTGCTTAGGAATAGCGACTTTTTAATTTAAGCAACTACTAGTTTTCTTAGATGAAATAAAGCAAATTAAAATTTTTCTTGAAATGCTTAAAAAGAAACGTACTTAGCAAATCTGTTTTGATAAGAGAGTTATAGTCTTATTGAGTTGTTACAATTAAGAAAATGTTGAAATACTCTATATTATTAATTCCAATATTATTAAATCACTTATAAATTAACAAAAAAAACACAATTCAATGATTTACATTTGAGTTTTATATATTAAAAAATTCACATTTAAAATTGTAAATCTATAATTAGAAAAAGTACTAAAACACGAATAATTACGTACGTGACTATAATTATTAGTATGATGTTGAATGGAAGAATAACATTTAGATTGATCAAAATATACCTTTTCATTTAATTTACATTGTTAGAAACAGTAAAATTATTAAACGGGTACTCGAATTTAGTTAAAGACAAAAGTTTAAGGCTTTACCTGTTAAAGTTATTACTGCTAGATTTTTCTTACACTGAAATCACTATCATATATTTATATGCACGTATGTGTCGCATTTTTATTAAAATCTTTGGGGAAAGGTACCCCTGGCTGTCTCCATGTCGCGTTGCCCCCATCTACAAATGATGCCACTTTTTTTCTTATATGACCAGGAAATGTACTGTAAGTTTTTTTTTTTTAAGCAAATGTACTATAAGTTGTATCCGTATATTCGTAAGAGTGTAATCCTCAGAGATTTTTGCTTGAAGATACAAGAAAAAGGATATTGAAACATGAACCAATCTAGTCTTTATGACATCCAATTATTTGTTCCAAATACCATCGTAACCATGCAGCTTTATTTTTGTTCGTTTGCAGTTCCATAATGTTCTCTATGGGGATGCCAAAGGATGGGCTAGGAGATTGATGTCTTTTCTGAGTTCTTATGTTCCCGGAGTTATGAATCCTCATGCTAAAGTTGTTCAACAATGGAACCAATTTTTTGTCATTTCATGCTTGATGGCAGTTTTTATAGACCCATTGTTTTTCTTCTTGTTGTCTGTGCAGAAGGTCAGTTTATTTTTGTTTTTCTTCCTATTGCTTTCTTAATTACTACAATTACATATTCTTTTAAAACTTTTTCTCCTCTAGTTGGCCTCACTATCTTAAGACTAGCAATTGGGTATTGTCTCTTGCAGCAATTTGGATTTACTTGCATTATTTGCTTTGACCTAGCATATGGATTCTACAAGATATTGAATTTTTTTGTTAGAGACTTTTTTTGATCTTTGTAACATCAAGCATGCTATATTGAATTCTTAAATGGTGCTGGCCTCTTTAGACCTCTTACTTCTATTTACTCCTTTTTCCTCTTTCTTTATGGGCAGGGTGCTTGTTTTAGTTAAAAACATGTGATACAAAATGTTCTTAAAAGTAGATGATATCAGTTATATTTGTAGATAAGAATTCCTTACAAACTTTTTAATTAGTGAATGTGTTCTGCTTTGGGAGCTTTATTATTGTGCTAAGTGAGGGAATGAGGTATGTGAATGGAATGATGAAGTATACACGTGTCCTAATATTACCATGAGAGATTGTGGGTGGTACAGATTAAGGCAATAACGAGTCAGAATAAAGCCATTCTAGTTCCCTGGTTAAGAAATTAGAGGGAGAAAGTGCAAGGGCAAATTAATGCTGCTGATGAGTAATGGGATGGCTTATTTTTAATCCGACGGGTAGCTAATAGGGGATGTCTGTTGCATGCCTTTAACAATTGAAATAGAAATTTTTATCGGACTAAGGCATGGTCTAGTAGATGCAGTAAGGTGTTGTGCAAAATTTGGAGCAAGAATTTGCGTTCAAAACTGTGATGTAAAACTTTTTTCTTTTTTTTCTTCACTAACAATTTCATTGTTTGTACACAATAAGTGAAATCCCGTGGTGAGATAAAATGCCTAGAAAGGACATAGTGCTCAAAATTAACTGGGGTTGTTAATCTTTTCAACGCCAAATTGAACTTTCAGAACTCAAAAGTAGTAAATAACTGCTTTGCTTTTTGGTTGCAGTTGAGGTGTGTTCACTTCTAATATTACTTTGAGCCAAAACTGGATGTGTGTTTGGCGTTATGTTTGTGGTACTAAGAAACATTAGCAATCCCAACAGAATGCTAAATGGGGCCTGATAATTTTGAAAATCTCTTCCTAGAAGAAGAGATGGGGCTTAGATTTGGCCCATGATTTCATATGCAACAGGACACTGCTTAACCGGACCAGTGCCTTCTGCGATGAAAGATGTAAAGCATACTGATTTAAAGGGACAGAAATGATGTGGAAAAGATATTCTTTCGGTTAACACACCCTTCTCTCAAAACATAAGTACAAGAAAAGTAGAGCCATCATCTGCAAAAGCTCTACATCAGAAAGTAATATGGTAGGCTGTTGTTAGAAAAGGATTGGCCTTTGAGGCAGTGAACTGCAGATTCCTAGCAAAGTACAGGTAAAAATTCTAGCAATCAGAGTCAGCCCTTATAAAGGAGGTCAACTAGGACAAGACCTTAGGTCTTAGTGCCACCTAGGTTACAAAAACTCATAATATCTTATATCCAAAGTGTTAACTTGTCACATAATCTAACCAATTTTTATGTTTTGATGTAAAAAATTTAAAAATTTAGCACATTTTATCAAGTTTTGATCTTATTTCCGTGGTATTTTAACTTTTCATTACCTGCTCTTGATAACAATCAAGGTTCTCTTAATTTAAATCTCAACTATTTTCTCTTTTTCTCCTAGACATATTTCAAATATTATTTTCCATAGTTAATTAATTAGTTATTGGAAAATTACATTATCTTTTCAATATATATTTTTCCTTTGCTAAAAAATAGTAGCATACAATTTATAATTGTGTATTTGGCTTTCCTATTTCTACAAATGACATTATTTCTTATGTAGTATGCTGTAAGCTATTCCAATTTTAAATGCAGGATAACAAGTGCATAGTTATCAACCGGCCTGCAACTAAAGCATTTGTAGTTTTGAGAAGCATGACTGATTTTATATACCTGCTTAACATGCTCCTTCAGGTAGACAGCTTCTTCTCCTCTTTTAAATCTTGCTTCTTCATTTTTAGTATCTCTCTCTCATAGTTTCCAAAATGCTTAGATGGTAAATGAGAATTTTTCTAATACAACGTAACTCTAACATATCAGAGAAAAGGAAAAGAGACATATCGGTAGAAGCATATTATCTCATCTAAATATATCAGATTAGACAATGTTGTAAAAACATTATACCAGATGGGATGAAAATGGGAAACCAGAACCTGTTGGTGCCATATGATTGAGAAAAATATTAATAAAGAGTGAAAACGGATGGATAAGGAGTATTGAAAAGTGTTATGATAAATTGGTTTGGTTACATGTACCTAGAAGGTGGTTTTTGCGTAATTCAGTTGGACAGGAAATTTAAAATCACATTAAAAATTTTTCATTGGTTTTTTTTTTCTAATTTTTTTGGGTTTTCTTTTTCCTTTCTCAAGTAACAAGTTGAAAAAGGTTTTTTACATATAGTTTAACCAAAATTATGGTTCAATTGCAAATTATGAGACTTAAAATTTCAAATTTGAATCATTTTATTGAAAAATTTGAAATAATCCAGACAAACAAATCAATTGTGCACCGCACACAATATTAAAAAAATGCTGATTTTTAAAATATATTATTTCTCGTTTTAAGCTTAGTTTGGCCAAATGGAAAATATGAACTAGATGAAACTAAATTTCTTTCAAGCAGGATTTGAATTTGATAAAATTGAAGCAAAAGTTGCTTATTGTTTCTAGGTTTAGATAGTCTTTATATACAATGATACAAGCCTAAGAGGAATGATGATGGTTCGCCAAAGCAGGCCTAAATTATATTTATGGTCAACATGGATATATACGAAGTGTTACACAAAAATGCACATATATTTTCAGCACTCCATCTGTTCAACATGATTCAAATTGGAAACAATTGAAATTTGGAAACTAATTAGCCAAAACAAGTGATTAGGAAAGAAATAGTGACTCTTCGTTCCTTTTAGTGAATGAAGTGAAAATGTATGCAATGTTATTGGTCTACTCTTGAAAAGCATCATTATGTGCAATTTGAATTACTCTTGTTATCACTGGGTGAAATATGGCTAGGAATGTTATGCTCATATGCATAAGCTGCCAAGAGAGCCAGACCAGTCCTGCGGTGATATTAGACAAGTTTTGTTCTTAGCTTAACCACTAGAACAAACTGCTTGCTTTTTAATCTTACAAAAAATTAAGGAATCACCCAAA